TTGATTAATGAAGACCGTATTAATCATCCGTTGGAAAGTGGAAGGCGCGTTTTTCAAGCCAAACGGCATCACAGTATAACAGAACAACCCCTGATCAGTGACGAAGGCCGTCTTCTCTTGATCCTTTTTCCATAGGGGTATCTGATGGAAGCCAGAGTAGGCATCCATAAAGCTCATCAAAGCGTGGCTGGCTGTAGAGTCGACCAGACTGTCGATCTTTAGAAGTGGGTAACTTTCCTTTGGACACGCCTTGTTGAGGTCTGTGTAATCAACACACATGCGCCAGGTCCCATTCGGTTTTTTAACAAGGACCACATTGGCCACCCAGTCGGGAAAGTTACAAGGCCGAATGAACCTGGCGTCTAGCAGCTTTTTAACTTTGGCAGCTGCCGCCTGACTTCTTTCCTCGCCGTGGTTTCTTTTCTTTTGCCGGATGGGCTTCTTTTTGGGGTCCACGGCGAGTTTGTGGACAGCGAGATCCGGGCTGACGCCTGGCATCTCTTCCACTTCAAAGGAAAAAATGTCTTTAAATTCTTTCAGCAGAAGGTGCAAGCTTGCACCCAAGGTAGCATGAGCAACCGTCCCAACCTTTACAGTACGCTCTAGACGGCTGTCATCCAGAGCGAGATCAATGTTTTCACCAGCCGGTTGGGGACGGAGCTCGTCTAACCGTTCACCGTCAGTGATTGCTATTTTTTCTCTTTCTTCACCTCCACCAGCAGAGGTGCCTTTCTTTTCTTCCCGGCTGCTGGTGGGAGAGGTGCTGGGTCGGCATCCTTAACATTGTCAAGGTCTATTGGTTCCTGGTCGCCTAGGGCCACAATATCTTTGACGGCTGAGAGATAGCACTCCCGGGCCGTCTTTTGATCCCCATTCAAGGAATCAACAGAGCCGTCATCCCTCTCATACTTGATGAGCATGAGAGACGGGATGATTACCGCCTTGGCTTCGTTGAGAGTTGGCCGACCAAGGATAATGTTGTAGGCGGTCAACTCCTCAACGAAGAAGAATCTGACGACAATATGTCGTCCCTGGCCTTTCTCTCCCAGCCGGATGGGTAAGTCAATTCTCCCGGCTGGGTAGACCATCCTGCCCCCAAAACCAACCAGGGGGTGGGTGACCGGATGCATGCTGCTGACATTGTATTTCAGTTTTTGCAGGCACCAGAGGCTGATGATGTCTGATGAGCTGCCGGTGTCAATAAGGATTCTTCCAACCAGTTGGTTAGCAACCTTACATTCAATGACGACCGGGTCATCATGCGGACGGCGGACGCTGCCCCTGTCCTTCTCAGTGATCAAAACGTCTGGGAAGGAGGTGCTTGCAGACGCCTGCTCATCATCATCCTTGTCCATCTTTCGAAGATGGCTCTTGGTGCCCCGGATGGTAAGGCCACCACAGGAAAACCCGCCTGCTATTGTGTAGACCGGCTCCTTGTCGGTATCCGAGCTACTAGCAGGCTGGGGGGTAGTCTTAGAGGACTGACCCTTATTCTTCTTCTTTGCCCCGGCTGGGGACTTAGAAATGTAGGACTTCAGCATTCCCTTGTCAGCCAGACGGTCCAACGCCCGTTGAAGACTGAAGCAGTCGTTGGTGTCATGGACAACCTTCTCATGGAACTGGCAGAATTTATTTTTGTTCCGTGACTGAACGAAACTCTTCATTGGATTCGGCTTTTCAATGGACAGTCGGTCCTTAATTTCCACGAGGATGGAATTGCAGCCCTTGTTAAACTCGTACTTAGGGACGTACGGTTTAAACTCCTTCTTTTTCTTCTCGGACGGCTGGTCAGAGTCATTAACCACCCAGATTTCTTTTCTTTTCTTGCTCTCTTCTTTATTTTTGGCCGGCTGAGCAGACCGGATGACTTTCTGCTTGTCGGACTTGGAGTCCGACTGGTTACCAGGTGAGCAGAGGTCGGTAGCTTGAATATAGCTTTCCGCCTCCCTCAGGGCCGCCTGTAAGGTGAAAGCCCCTTTTCTGACTAGGTTGAACTTAAAGGTCGACCCGTCTCTCAAACCCTTGAAGAAGTCTGTAAAAACTACCTCATCAGACAGTCCTTGAATCTGAATTCTGATCAGATTGAACCGCCTGACATATGAGCGCAACCCTTCTCTCCCCCCTGCTTAACAGTGCTCAAATCAAGGCTTGTTTTCTTAGCAGGGATGTTCATTGAGAAGTTGGAAGCAAACAGGAAGGCGAGCTTCCTAAAATTGTCAATGGACCCGGCTGGCAAGTTGCCAAGCCATTGTTGGGCAATGCCCTTCAATGTAGCCGGGAAGCATCGACACCAGGTGGCGTCATCCAACCCATGTAGGTACATGAGGTTGGTGTATGCCATAAGGTGATCTTCCGGGTTGGTGGTACCATCATAGGTACCTACCAATACATTCTTAACCTTGGCCGGCTGTGCCGCCTCGGTTATCTCCCGGGTGAACGCAGAAGGTTGTTCACCCAGGCGTAGCAGACGGAGCTGCCAATCCAGTGGCTGGACATTTTGATATGCCGCTTGACCCCCGAAGAGGGCCGGCTGCATGAAGTGAGGGGATACTGACCGTAAACCTGAGTAGGTACATACGACACAGTTCCAATCATCTGAGGGCCAGAATGGACGGTATTACCACCTGTCTGGCTCTCATGCAGGGAGAGAGCATTCCCTGCAGAAGTATTGTTGAAGCTGTCAGGGAAGTTCGACGTTGAAGCCGACTCAGTTGTTGATTGCTCTTCCGGTTGATTATTTCTCGGGCATCAAGAGATGACTTTTTACTTCCCACCGGCTGTTGAGTCCGGCGGGTGTTATTGTTATTCCTCTTAGGAAGAAGAATCTTGGACCAATCAATGGTCCCGGCTGCCTTCTCCTTTGGATGGGGAGTTGGTTGCCGATCTTTGACTGACTTCCCCTTTTTCAGAGGAGCTTTCTTGGCCGACTGACCTCTACTTGGGCCAGCCCGGCTCTAGGTGATTAGCTCTTTAATTTCACCCTTGAAACTTGTCATGAACCTCATGAGTTTGTCTCGGGTGACCGGTGCTGATCCTGTGGCCGTATGGGTTTCCCCTTCTGGCTGCCCAGGGGGTCGACTTGCACCCGCCTGGGAGGCACCCCGCTCCAGAGTCTCTCTGGGCCGGATGCGCTTGATTCTGAGAGAGCCGTCATCGGCTGTAAAGGTTTCGACCTAGGGATCTTCATCCTCCTGGTCTGTAATGACTTCTGGGTCTTCGCCCACACGGTTAAGGGGTACAGACTCTTGAACCATCTTCGAGGTACTCTCCCCACAGACAGCGCCAAATGTTTTGGGTGTTTTTTGTCCCTCGGGAGAGTTACAACACGAATACTGATCCGGCGGGAGCTGTACCTGAAAAACAAACGGAGACACCAGTTGGGTGGTGCTCCGCCTCAGACGCACAAGTTAGAAACTTGTAGTGAGAAAACGATGCGGAAATTTAGGTGGGTATCTGCTCGGATTCCAAGCTCAGATGTCTCTATCACAGGGACTGTTTGTAATAAATGGTAAAAAACCTGCCCTCAAAAAGAGGGACATCTCCCTATTTATAGGGTCGTTGGGATTTGTGCCCCTGATTAGGTCACTAAGCCCTAATCATTGGTGGGCTGCGCCGCTTTGCGGCTTTCTCGGGATTTGGGCCTGAAGGCCGCCTTTTTCCCCCTAATTTCTGGAGTGATATAATCATTATTTGTTGTCATAAATGTTCGTGGTAGGCTTGAATTATTGAAATCGGTGTAAGTTGTAAATCGGTAAATTGGTTGTTCAAAGGCAAATCGGATGGTTCCACCCACCCAATTGGACTCCCGGAGGATATTTGGGACCATGGTAAACATTTCGGCAATTTTTATATGCGGGAGAAAAAAGTCAAAAAATTCCAAAATTGAAGGCTAATATCCACGCTTTTTGAGAAATTTCGAATGTTTCGAGGCCCGGTGTCGAAAAGCATTGAGATTTTAGGGGATACATCTCGGGGTCAAATAATGTCGTTTGGATCCATATATGATAATTATATGTTGACATAAATTTTCGTGGTAAACTTTTTTTTTTTTTTTTTTTTTGAGGGAATTTTTCGTGGTAAACTTGAGTTAATGAAATCGGTGCAAGTTGTAAACCGGTAAATTGGTCGTTTAAAGACAAATTGGATGGTTCCACCCAGCCAATTGGACTCTCGGAGGGTATTAGGACCATGGTAAACATTACGACAATTTTTACTTCCGGGTGGAAAAAAGTAAAAAAATTTCCAAAATTAAAAGCTAATATCCACGGTTTTTGAGAAATTTTGGAGATTTTGGACTGTGACTCTCTAGGGTACACTAATGTCATTTTTCATTTATGGCTCATTAAATCCTTATTATAAGTGTTTCAAAAAATAAAAATAAAATAAAATATAAATAAATTACAAAATATATTATAATATTATAAAAGACTCCATTTTTTTTTGTCAAAGTGAGACTCAAAGTTGGCTATTTAAAATGGAAAATTTGCAAATTGCAGCCATTTAAATTTTTTTTTTTGCAAATTGCAGCCCAAAAGTTCGTATAAATTGTAAATTGCAGCCCGATTCAATTTTTTCATCGGTTTACATGTTGAAAAATCTTCGGTTAAGGTTTTAGAGGTTATTTTAGGCTTGAGGGAACCGAATTGAGCTCGGAATTAGCAAAAAAATAACGTAATTATCTCATATTTACAGTTTCTCACAAATCGATACACTTTTGTTACGCAAAACGAGATACTTGCGTTATTTTTTTCTAGTTCCGAGCTCAATTCGGTTCCTTAAGGACTAAAATGACCCCTAAAACCTTAATAGAAGATTTTTCAACTTGTAAACCGATCAAAAAGTTAAATCGGGCTGCAATTTACAATTTATTTGAACTTTTGGGCTGCAATTTGCAAAAAAAATTTTAAATGGCTGCAATTTTCAAAATACGAACTTTAAACGACTGCAATTTACAAATTTTCTATTTAAAATTAACAACTTTCGGTATCCTTTGCAAAAAAAAAAAAAAAAAAAAAAAAAAAATACTCTCCCAGTGTTTAATCCGTCAAAGTCTCACCATCGGAGAGTTTTTCCTGTCTTACTTTGCTTCGTTACTCACTCTTTCCCCTTGCGCTGTCCCAAAGTTGAATTTTGGGCTTTTTCTTCTTTTCTATTTGCATTTGTAAGAACAAATTAGATTTGGATTTGTTTTTTTTTCAACCATATATTGTCATTTCTGCTGTATATAATCTTATAAAGAGTGCATTTTTACAAAGGGTTTTTGTTTTTTTGGGTGCAGATTATTCTTATATAAATGGCATTTGTAGTAAAAGTTCCTGTGAATGTGAGTATTTCTTCACAATGCAAATTTGGTGGATTTTCTGGGAATATAATCAGAAAATCTGGATTTGAGAATGGGCGTAGATCGTTTGTTTCAGCTGTAATGTCAAGTAGCCCTGCTCCTAATGTCCAAAATCTTTCTATCAAGTCCAAAGATGTTGGATTGCCTGTTATGGTATAAACTCTTTACTATTCTCTTGATTCTAAAACTTGTTGTCATGTTGAATTGAATCTTGCTGGAGTTTGTTCATGTCGGAAATCGTTATATTGCTTGAGGAATCAATGGTCATAATCGACGAGTTTCGTGCCCGGAAATGTAAACTTGGTTGTCTATGTTTGATTGATTAGTACAAACTATGCAATGTTTTGTACAGATTTATCAGGACTTGAATTATACGCGTAACACATTTATCTCATTAGCAAAATGGTATATTGTTCGATTCCTTTCTTCTATATACGAGTGACTCATACAGTCATACAATAGCTTATTCAACCTGATCACTGTTGTTTGATTTCCTAGCGTTGCCCTTCTGTTAAATTTATTGGCTGCATGGAAATTTTTATCAAGTCAAAACTAAAATGTTATTGTGTTTGTCACTACTCACTAGTATGTGTCTGTTGCTTCCCCGTGCTTGTTGCTTATATTTGTGCACTCTCTAATAAATTATGAGAGTATGATGAATGAAAGTAAATGCTGATTGAAATTGGCTATATACACAGAATTATCAATGCTTTTCAAGATACATAAGAAGAGGGGTTGGGGGGGGGGGGGGGAGGAGTTACGAGACACGGGGCTGAATTTGGCTGGCAATCTTCATTCTTCAACTGTGTCTTACGATTTATTTATTTGTCTTTTTGAAATTTAAGTCTCACCCTTGCTGGAGGTCAATTTATTTGTTTGTTCTATGAAGCTTTCTGATTTATATCTTAGGTGTCAGCTAAGTTCTCTGATTCCACAGCTAGATTGATCTCTATCTTGTTTGGTAATTCTAAATCAATTGGCTAGCATTGATCTGATCCTTTGCTTTATTGGTTTAGTTGGAAATGATCTAAGTGTTTGATGTATAAATCTTCTAGAAGACGTTGGTTGGTTGGTTGATCTTAGGATACAATCATACATTTTCCCATCATACTTATCTGACAATCCTTGTATCTTAGAGGAAGTTGTTAAAGCTATACCAATTCTGATACCTGTCCATTTATGTGTTTTTTACATGGACCTGTGAGGCTGTGACTAACTAGCAGAGTGAAAATGGTCTACTATAAATTATGGAAGGGGCTTTAATTTATTCACATCAAATTATACCTATTAACTATAACAGTTTGTGGTCAGTTACTGATTACAATTTTTGAGCTACTGAAAAAAATCAAAGATATGCTTCAATTTGACAGAAGTTGACAAACCATATAGTCATTATTGCTGTTGTTAGACATGGCATTTCACTTTTAAGTGATTCTGGTTGTAAGAACATCATGTGCTTCTGTTAGGCTGGCTTTTACTTAGAAACTTTGTTCTATGTGATTCTTTGATTATAGGTCAATAGTTGCATGGGCAAAATGGGAAAGGCAGTTATCGAAGCAGCAGCTAATGCTGGACTTCATATTGTTCCTGTATCATTCGGTGCACAGGAGGAGTGTGGGCAGCTTGTCCAAGTGGGAGATAAAGAAATTCAGGTCCACGGTCCTTTAGAAAGAGAAGATATCCTTGCCTCTGTCTATGATGAATATCCTGAGCTGATTGTGGTAGACTATACAGTGCCGACTGCAGTAAATGGTATGGAGAACATATGAAAACTTGTAATTAATGTGGTGCAACTCTTTGATGATTGACACTGTCTAACTTTATCTTGGTAATAGGAAATTAAGAAACCCCATTGTAAGTAATTGGCTGTAAATTAAAGGTTTAGACCTTTAATGTGGATGCGTTTTTGTTGACCAGCATTATTCAATCATTATCTTATGTGCAATACTTCATTTTGTCAGTTCTGTGCTATTAAAATAAAGAGTTTGCCTTTTCTTTCCCTTGCTATATTGCATTTGACTATTTTAATTGATAATTAACTTGTGATCACTGGATTTTTTAAATTTATCATGTCTCGGCTTGGTCATTTTACAAATACACGGAAATGGAGTTTTTGCTTATCGCTGATCCTTTGTGTATTTTTTTTTTCTATGTAACTCTTCGTTATCCGGGAAATATTTTCTGTATTAAGTTTTCAGGGTAGTTTTTTTTTTAGATGGATTTTGGGGGGTATGAGGCCTCTCTCAGTGTTAAGGGGTGAGGTTACATTCCTCCTATCTTATTTGTCTACGATGTTGTCTTAAACAGGCTGGGAAACATTCATCATATTTATCTAAGATGTTATACTAAGCAAGGTCATGAGATTTATTCATTTTTCTCATCATATGTGGATTTGACCTATAAAACTTCAAGCCCAGCTCTCTACTGATGTGCAACAATTTCGTTGGTCAACAGTAAAGCTAGATGGAGAACTACAGAATGCATGATCAATATATATATTAGCCCACCCTAGAATCATAGTGCAACTCTGATATAAATGTACCATCAATAAATGTTATGGCCTGATTATTGAATAATTTTAAGCTAGACTCCAAGTTGCTATGTTTATTTCAAAATTTCAATGTATGGAGGGCTCGTTGATAATTTTATTGTTGGAGAAGTATCCAATCATGCTTTGATATTTGTAATTACCTTCTAGTTTTATTAATCATTTTGGACAATTTGGTATGCAGATAATGCAGAGTTGTATTGCAAAATTGGGGTGCCATTTGTGATTGGAACCACTGGTGGAGACAGGGATAAACTTCGTAAGACTGTGGAGGACTCAAAGAATTATGCTGTTATATCACCACAGATGGGAAAGCAGGTGTTTCATTTATAGTCCTGTATCACAAGCCAGTTTCAAATTATCTATTGCAGTTCTCATCACTGAATATCTACACTTTTGGACTTTTGGCTATTCAAGGTCGTAGCATTTCTTGCAGCAATGGAAATTATGGCTGAGCAATTCCCTGGAGCCTTTTCTGGTTATTCTCTTCAGGTATTTCCTCTCATCATGCTCTCTCTGATGCATACAAAATAGTACCTTATGAGTTGGTTTCAACATATCTGACAAGAAAGTTTCATTAACTGTTTGGATGGAGCAGTCTCCATTTCAATATCATGCGCATGTCTTGGCAAACTCATTTGTGATAGTTTTTAGTACTGTAAGATGAATGTAGATTATACTGATCAATCTGAAAAAAATCATAATCAAGCAGTGTCACATCGCATTTGTATCTGATATGTGGTTGAGTGTTGTCTGCCAATTATGAGTTTGATTCTACATCATAATTTTCGGCTCGATGACATGGTTTATTTGCTTAATTATTATTGGGTATGACTGATACCAGGTCATGGAGTCTCATCAAGCCAACAAAAAGGATGCATCTGGGACTGCTAAAGCTGTTATCTCATGCTTTCAGAAACTTGGAGTGGACTTTGATATGGATCAGGTTAGACTCTCTTGTATACAGGGGTTAACTACCGTAGTGAAACCTTAGGATGACTATTTGATTACAGTAGGGTGGTTAGGAAAATTCAAATCCTTTTTTTTGATAATATTATATTACCTTCACATGGAGAAATTAGCATTACTAACCATCCATGATTGTGACTCTTTATGCCTCTTTTTGGAGGTTTAATGGATTTGTTAAATGTTTTGACATACATACATATTCACTTATTTAACCATTCAACCTTGACCTTGTCACCTCTGCTCTACAGTTTTATGGGGGTGCGGGGACTGTTTTGCCTTTTTTTTTTTTTTTTTGGGGGGGGGGGGGAGTGGATGGAATTATTGTGATATTTTACGTTTTGAACTTGGAGACATAGATGGAGAATGAGAGACAAGTCTATACTGTAGTTTGCTACCTTAAAATTTTTAAATCTCCGTGCTTCTTTGTTAGGTAGGAACACTAGGAGGGAGTTTAATTCTGAATGCTTTTTGTGCCTGATCTTCCCTGAAGCTCTGTGCACCTTGCAATTGCTCATAGTTTTATTAATATAAGATGCTTAGAAACTGATAATTTGTGGAAAACCTTTTATTGGTGTTTTCTTCTTGTATTTTTTTTGTATATTCTATATTGTTTTCTTCAGCTGTATGATCATTAACTGCCAAATCATAGTAGGGCTATGCTTCAGTCAACATATTATTTCTTTTTATTGCAATACTAGTTCTTTGCTTAAGGATATTCACTGATTTTATATATATATATATATATATATATATATATATATATATATATATATATATATATACTAGTTACTTGCCTGAGGCTCGGATATTCACTGAATTTTTTTAATTTTTACTAGTTACTTGCCTGAGGCTCGGATATTCACTGAATATAGAGTATCATCATTGTTGTAGGCCTTGTAGTTAGCTCACAAATTGTGAATTTGAAATTGAGTTGGAATCCATATTTTTAGTATGAAATGAACATTTCATTTTATTGATTAATGAATGAAAATTCAAGAGGATATAAAGGATTTTCTAATCTTGGGGTCTGTTCAGTTCAGCTTAATTTCAGTTCAGTTCAGTTCAGCTCCAATCAAATCAGTTCAGCTCTTAATTTCCTTCTCTCATAAAATAATCATTTCAGCTCATCTCAGTTCAGTTCGGCTCCAATCAGTTCAGCTCAGCTCAGCTCAATTCACTAAATGTGAATAGGCCCTTAATATACTTCATATAATTAAAACTTTTTTAGTTTGGTGATTTTCTATCTACAACAATAAACTTCAGTTGTATTGATTATGAAATTTAAAGGGTAAAAATCACTAATTTACTATGATGTTATTTTTAATCTTTTCTTATTTATATGTAAAGCAAAGAAAAATATATTATTTATTTAAAGTTGTTGTACGTTATTGTTCTATATTTTGGGTTTTTAGGCTATAGATTTTTTTAAAAAAAATAAATTATCATATTATATATTAAGGCAAAAAAAAGAAAAAAAAATTTGGTAGGAACGCGATACATGTACTTATGAGATATTTTTGGTGATTACTCTATTATATAGTTAGCTTAGAGGTTTAAGAGTTTGTTATATACACCCGGGTGTACGGTGCACCCATGAGTATTTTGTTTTTATTTTGATGATTGTTTTTCATTTAATCATCAAATCAAGAACAAATTAACCTTGTGTTGCACCCGGGTGTATATAAAAAATTTCATAGAGGGTTGGAACTTTCTTAGAGGCACTAACATTATCTGATCTTTCGTCCTTGTGTGATTTGAGTTGCTGTCTTCAACAACTTTATTTGATCATAACGTGATTTTTTTTTTCCCTAATCCTTCACTCATATTCTTATCAGATACAACTAATACGGGATCCTGAGTTGCAAGTTGAGATGGTTGGTGTCCCGAAAGAACACGTTTCTGGTCATGCATTCCACATGTACCACTTAACGTCTCCCGACCAAACGTAAATTTACACCTATCTCATCCACCTATTTTAAAGCTATGCTTTATCTGATCCTACTAAAGAGTTTGGAGCTTTTTGATCTCTTCTTTAGGGTATCATTTGAGTTTCAGCATAATGTGTGTGGAAGGTCTATATATGCTGAGGGTACCGTCGATGCTGTGCTTTTCCTGGCGAAGAAGGTAGAGATCTTTTTTTTTATTTATTTGTGATGTTTTAATGGCATAATGTGTTTTCTTCCGTCCTTGTGATGTTAGAAGAATGCACATTATGTTGAAAGGGAATTTCTCTGTTTTGATGAAAGCTCAACGAGCAAGTGCTTTTTCTTTGGGGAAATCTTTTTGTTGTTAATATTTGGAGTTCTATAGTTTTGGGGAAATCTTTATTCCTTCTTCCGGGTGATTGGGAAGATTGGTTCAGGAGTTGTATAAGGTGTTATTGTTGAATTATGCTACTCCGTATTATGGAGGTGGGGATCAATTACTAGTTTGAATTTTTGGCTCAACGAGCTGTAGGGTAAGTGTTTAGTTATAATGAGGTGTACCTCATATTCATTGGTGGGCAAGTATGGTACCAGGGACGTTACGGACTATGGAGTATATTATAGATGTGTTAAAATCTAGAACTTTTTCTATTGGCATATCAATTTAAATAATTTTGCTGTGAATTTGTAGTTTCTAAACATATTCCATAATTTTCTGGCATGAAAATAGGTTGCTAACTTGATGTTCTTGAATTTTTGGCTGTAAAAATGCTGCAAAAATCGGCGAGGACTGAAAAATATGTGGTTCATACAGGTGCAATCCAAGGCTACAAAACAGATCTACAACATGATTGATGTCCTGCGCGAAGGCAACATGTGATGATTTTGTGATACTTGAAGATCGTTCGCAATGCAGTGCAATGGTTCACATTTTCCTAATTTGAATCATGTAGATTGTAGAGCTAGATTGCCTATATATCTTTGTTGCATAGCAGGTAGGTATCTTTAGGAAAATCAGAGTCACAAGCTTGAGCAAAGTTTTGTAGTTTAGGTTGTTAAATTGGAGGGAGCTCCAATATCCAATATGGCAAATAGGTTAATATAAAGAACTTTATAAATATTTTATACTACATAACTTTTAATGTACTATTTTTTTGGGTTGGGTCTTCTTCACCAAATAATTTGCTCTATTTTCATTCCCCTCCATTTTCATATCTTTCTTCCTCCTCCTTTCCCAATATATTACTTCATCTTGTAAGCCAACAACAATTACCCTTATAATTCCGGCGGTGAATTAAACAAAAACCCTAAGAAAAATGTAGAAATAAAGGGCATGGTTAACCCAAAAGTATCAATGTTAATTTCCTCCGTTGAAGCCGATTGTCAAGTTTCATTTCACCATTGAATCTCTTCGTTCCTTCATTGATGCTCTTCTGATTTTACTTGAATACAATGATATTCTAGACAGTTTTACAATTTTAACCCCATATTACTAGTTAAAATGACAATACACCCCTTTGAGATTGCCTTTGAGATATGTGGTACATGGGAAAGCCCAAAGGATATCTAGGCTTGGTTGCCACTTTTTAGGTCAAAATCCGTTGTGATTTTTATAGCCTAAAATGATGTCCATGCACAAGTTTAATGATTAATGTGTGTGTTTATCGATAAGTAAAATTATTAAAAACTGACATTATGTAAAATACCCACAATTCTAATAAGATTACACATTATGTTTTATCATAACTAAAATTCACAAAACTGGTAAAACAGAGTGACAAATTTACATAATACTCTGCAATATTTATTCCGTTCACTTTTACTTGCAATGACATTGAATAATATGATACTTTCATATCTCAAATTGTAAGATGAATTCTTTCAAAGTTTAATGATTAATGTGTCTGCCGTTATTAATCACAACTTCCATTTATTTTCAATCACTCCCAACTTTGTACTCTATTAATTTTTAGGAAAATTTGCCAAGAATAATACAACCTTTCAGCGGTCTTCTAAGAATGGAACAACCTTTAAATTATTTCAAAAGAAAACGACTTTTAATACACATTTGCCGGAAATAGACCAAAAAACCTGTAACATGTTTTACAGGTTACTTTTAACACGTGTCACATGTGTGATTGGTTAAAACGTTATTTATTTTATTTTAACATTTTTCTTTAATAATATGATTTAAAAAATAAAACTTAAATTAAAAAAATTTAAAACTAAAAAAAAAAAAAACCCTCCCTTGCCGGCAGCCACCCTACCACCACCTGCTATCCCCCTCCCCGAACCCGCCAGTGGCCAGAGCCTCTACATGGCGCCTGCGGGCTGCGGTACCCTCTTGACCCAGACCCCTACTCCGACCACCCATCCACTCCCCTTGAACCACCACCCAAAAATTCAATGACCTTAAACCACCAGTTGATTTTAGGTTTTCGAGTGGTGGTTCAAGGGGGGAATGGATTGGAGACGGGCGTCGGAGGGGCGTAATGGATTCGCCGGCACAGGGGAAAGGGTTGGGGCGCTGGCCGGCCGCGAGGTGAGGAGAGGTGGGTTTTCAGGGGGGGTTTAGGGTGGGGGGAAGGTTGTTTAAGGGAGGGGGAGGGGTTGTAGGTTCGGGATCTAGGTCAGGAGGGGTGCGTCGTCGCCGGGGGTAGAAGGCTCAGGCTGGAGGCCAAGGGTGGAGAAGGGGAGAGCAGGTGGTGGTCGAGTGGCTGCCGCCTATCGACAAGGGGAAGATTATTTATTTTTTTATTTTTTTAATTTCAGTTTTCTTACTTAGTTTTTAAGTGTTTTTTTTTTATTTATTTTTTTTTAAAAAAAAAACAAAATTGTTAAACAAATTGACCAACGACATTGTGACACGTTTCACTAGTAACTTTCTAAAGAGGTTACCAAAATGTCACGTTTCATTTGTGGCAAATATATATCAAAGGTCGTTCCATTTTGAAATAATCATATGTCGTTCTATTTATGGAAGATCGGTGAAAGGTGGTGTTATTTCCGGCAAATTTTCCTAATTTTTATCACCCCCAATTGGTCATCTAATTTGATATTGCAAGTTAATTAAAAAAATTAAATCCTAACCCTACCCACCAGGTGGTAGCCCCTGCCACCTTCGGCAGGCAGCAACCCCTGCCTCTTCCTAGCCCAGACCACCGAAACCCACCCACCTCAAATTCTTGCAGCCCTAAATGTCCAAAACGAAACCATTCGCCACGAAATCGGCCACTAACGATCGAATTCGGCTTGTTTAGGGTTGGAATCAACCATTCATCCCTAAAACCCGCCGATTTCAGCCGTTTGAGGCCAGTTTTGGTGGTCGTTTTCGAGGGGAGGAGTTTGTTTTTTTGGTGGATAAACTGCCATTTAGGGCTAGGGTAGGTTTTTCGCCAGTCGTGGGCTGGGAAGGGAGTGCGCGTGCGTCGGAGGTGGGCAGGGAGGAGGCGTGGTCCGTCTAATTCTGACCATCCCCTTGGTGGTTCCGAGAGTGGGGTTAGGAAGGAAGCAGCTGGGACTTAAGGAAAGGAGGTTGGTGGTGGTGGTCGATGATAAGGCTAAGGGATGGTTGGGGAATTTTTTTTTTTTTATTTCACTTTTTAACCAATTAGGTTGCGACATGTGTACAACTAATCCCAAGTCAGCAAGGTTTACCTCCTCAACCGGTTTCAAGTCATTCGGAGGTGATAAAAATTAATAGGGTATAAAGTTGAGAGTGATCGAAAATAAAATTGAAGTTGAGATTAATAACAACGGAAGGAGCAAAGTTGGGACTAATGGTGACAATTTTTCCTTTACTAATATACAGTTTTCGTAATAAAATCTACAAATACACGAACCCATAGTCTATAGATACGTGTATAGAGAGGCGAATCGTGCAGCAGATTGGATAGCAAATGTAGGCCACTTAGTAGCAGATTTCATATTAATTAATTATTGTACTAGCTCTAATTTAGCTTCCATACTTTAATCTGAAGCATTAGGGATTTCCCCATGAGGACGATTTCCTAATGTTATTTCTTATTATTTATTTATTGTTTTAAAAAAAATCGTTGAGCTTTAATCTGTGACGAACTAGTGTATAAACTCCGTAGTGTATAAAGTATAAACCTCAAAAAAAAAAAAAAAAAAAAAAAAAAAAAGAAAAAAAGAAGAGAAGAAGAATTAGCGGGGAAAAGATTAGAAAACGTGATCAACTGCCAACTCGGCATTTTTTACTCTGCTTCTCCCTCTTCTGTTTATCCGTGTTTTTCTCTCCCTATCTCTCTTTCCATCTTCCCCGCGATACTTAAGCTGATGACCGACACACATTTTTAGGGTTTTCTCTCTCCATTTTCCCCCAAATCTCGTTAGATCTTCCCCCAAATTCTAATCTCCAATCATTCTACTCTTCCTATTACCTTCAATGCTACTACATTTCCGTCCTCACTCTCACTGATTCGACAAAATCTGTGTCTAATTTGCTCGTAAACTTCGTTTTCGATTGAATTTTATTGCGGAAGAATTTGAATAATGCCGACTCACGATCCTGCTACACCTGGCCAGGTTCAATTATTTTCAATGTTGGAAGTTTTTAATTTTAATTTTTGTATGATTTTATGTTTGATTTGAGTTTTATGCTGTATTGGATTTGATCGCTAAAATGTTGTTGTTGCAGTGTTTTTGGTGGTAAGTACGTAGAAAATTCCGATCTTATTGTGTTGTTGAATCTGAGTTTTTATTATTTAGAGGATTAGGCGTAAATCATTGTTGTTAGTGTGATGATATCGAATTTTTGATGCGGATTTGCGAGGAAAGTGTATTTGATTGATGTTAGTGTGATGTGTTAGCTTAATGTTTTATTCTCTCGGTGGAATATGCTAGTGTGATGATGCTGAAGTTTGATTCGAATTTATGAAAAATCGTATTGGTTGGTGTTATTGTCATATGTTAGCTTAATATTCAATTTCTCACTATAATATATTAGTGTGATGATGCCAAAGTTTGATTCAAATTTGCGAGGAAATAGTATTCGTTTGATGTTCAATGTAGAAACATTGAGTAAAATCAGTGGTGTAGCTGCAATATGTCTTGTGAAAGTTCAATAATATAAATTAGTACTTGTATATATTACAACAATTACTTGGAACTATAGGTTTTAGAATAAAAGCTTACAACAGTGAATTTTAGATATTTAACCTATGAATTGTTAGAAATAGTAGTGTGGGGAATATTTTCAAGCTTTAATCCCACTAGCTCGAACCCCCGCTGTGATCATACACTAAAGTACGGTGGCGTCCAAAAGGGAAGAAGATAGAGTAAAAGAGTCGCCAACAAGTTTTTTAGGAACCTGTAAACCGTTCACGAGGTGAAGGTTACACCCCTTAACGATCCAAGAGATCGTCAACTCCATAAGGTCTAGAACCAAATAAGGGTTCGGGGATGAAGGTACAAATCCAACCTAAAAGAGATTGAACCTGCCCTAATAATAGGCCTCTACTTTATTCTGATCGTATTCATGTGCGCTTTTTGACTAACATACAATCAATAGGATTAACTCTAAACCTGTTTATCTATGTTGGTTGAATATTAATGCACAAATAAACTATTATTGGCGATCACTTGAAATTATAATCAAATTAACCCTAACAAGATTATTAATTATCTTATTAAGCGTGATTACAAGTACAAATTCCCTTTAAACATGCAATAAAAGGCGTGATCAAGCAATAAAAATAAATAAGCAAGCAACATAATAATAAATAGGAAAAATGGAAACTAATAATCCCACTTTTACCATTTCTGCTCAAAACAATCCCACCTTTGAATAATCTGGAAATAATATCACCTTTAACCTTAATCTGCTAAAAATAATCCTTTTTACCTAAAACCTGTATAACAGGTTAATAACTTTTTTATTATTTTTTTTTACTTTGATTTCTTAATTTTCTCTTACTATCTCCTACCCCCTAACCCTTAATGGTAACTCCGCATACTCTCAATCATCAAACCTCCATAACCACCACCATCAAACCTCCATAACCACCACCTGACCTCTACCCGAACTCCCAACCACACCCCTCTCACCTGAACACAAAACTCCCTAAACTGACCACCCAACCACCCTTAAACCTCCTAAACGCGATACCCAGCCACCCACATAAACCTCCCCTGCTCTGCTTCCCCTCTCACGTCAATTTGTGGATGGAATTGAGTGA